ATGTGGCTCTATGGAAAGTAACTTCAAGGGTGATCATAAATTCCTAACTAGGCAGGTCATGGTGGGTAGTCACACCCCAGGCATATAACTTCTTCTTTTTTTTAAATATATTTTTATTGATTTCAGAGAGGAAGGGAGAGGGAGAGAGAGAAACATCAATGATGAGAGAGAATCATTGATTGGTTGCCTCCTGCACGCCCCCTACTGGGGATTGAGCCCGTAACCCAGGCATGTGCCCTTGACCAGAATTGAACCCGGGACCCTTTAGTCCGCAGGCCAACGCTCTATCCACTGAGCCAAACCAGCTAGGGCATAACTTCTTTACTAAAGCTTATCTTTGCCTTAAGCAAGCCCTGTCCATCGTCTCTGTGCATCTAGGTTAACACACTTTTGAAATGCCCCCTTTCAGACCCTTCTGGTACATGACCACCCTTTCAGACCCCTCCTAAAGTACCAGTGCACATCATCTTAACTAGCTTGTAATTCAATCCTCATCTTGCTTTCTCCCACCTCTGTGTAATCTTCCTACATCCCCTCCTTAATTTCAAATGCATAGAAGAAATTGCAAAACTGTTATTCTCTGGAGCATTTTGAGATCTTGCTCCCTGGCATATGTTGCCAGTTTTGGCTCAGATAAACTCATAAAAATTCTCTGCAGGTTTGGACATTTCTTACATCAACAGGCATATTGCATTATTCATTAAGTGTACAAACCACAGTGTAGAAATTAGCCTCAGAAGAGAGGTGCAGATAAAGTGCTACGAAAAAATCATGGAAGTTTTGGGAAGGTTTCACAAGGAGATGCAGTGAAGCTGGATCTGGAAGGATGCTTTGGGCAAGGGGGGAGAGGGAGCACCCCAAGAACAGAGCTTCCTGTGCGTGAGCAAAGTATGATGGTGGGAGAATGTGCAGTGTGCAGGACCAGTGAGTAATTTAGTTTGGCTGGTGAACTTGGGGGTAGTGAGAGAAGTCTGGGAAAGGAGTTAGGTCAGCTCCCAGAGGGCTCAGTCCAGGCCAAGCTGCTCCAGCCGCATGACCAGAACCGTGTGCTGTTAGCGAGGGCCAGTGGGGCGGGGAATGGCAGGTTGCTTCCTAGAGCCTGGGTGGGCACAAACAGGGCCTCTGGAGAGACGGAGCAGGTGTACAGTCCACAGGGCCTGCCAGCTGTTAGGGTTTGGGTTGGAATCACCACTCGCAAGTGGCTCTTCAGTTTCTGCTTAAACTTCTCCAGGGATGGGAGGGTCACCGCTGAGAAGGAGTTTTTTATTTTCTGCTGGGGAGTAGTTCCTCATGGGTCTACTGGAGCCCTTGGTGAGGGGGGAGACAGAAAAAGAGAAACAAGTTAGAAAAATATAAAGTGTGCTCTCTGCCAGGGGCCTGTCCTCTGTTCTGGCAGTCAGTGTGCCTGAGGGTGAGCCTGGCTTGGGGGTCTATGTGAGGAAGGCTGCTTTGGGCTGTGCCCTTCTCCACTCAAGCCTTGACCAACAGGCTGCAGGTTGGAGCTCCTGGGTTGCCTCTGTGCTAATATGGGGTGGCCATGTTGCTGGGCCTGGAACATCTACCTTGTGGGGAGCTTGGGCCAGGGAGACCATTCGAGCTGGAGGTGTGGGAAGGTTCTGCGTCACCCTGGGGTCCTGCTCTCCTAGCATCTACTCTTCTAGTCCAGGGGAAGGCACTTTGGCTGATCTGGGGTCTCAGCATGGGCCCCCGCATTGGCCCTCACATCCCACCAACAGTGCTCAAAGATCGGGGCAAGGCTGGTCCTCCAGGAAGACTGACGAGGTATCTTTGAGGATCTTTAGACAGAGCCCCCTCCCGTATTTCTCCAGCTAACAGGTTGCAGTGCTGGAGATGCCATCATTGGAGGGTCTGGCACATGATTTGAGAGCCTACACTAATATACTTATTTATGAACAAATTCACAAAGATTCAAAGATCATTACTGGTTTTTGTAACTCATAAAGCCCTAGGGCCTAGGCTAACTAAAGTGTTATTATTTATGCAAATCACCCCTGAGCTCTAACCGCCTCTCAGGATCAGGGGTTATGGGTTACAAACTCCTTTGCCTCTACAACCACATTGGAGCAACGCTGGAATGCAGAAATTATTAAACTCCTCTTTGTCTGTTTCCTCTTATAAAAATGGATGTCAAGTCCCTTGCCCAAGGTCAAATGGCCAATGCAAGGCCACCGTGGCTGGACACTAGATTTTAGAAACAGAAGGGTGTTATTTCCTCCCAATTTCTCAAAGCAGCCTGGGGCGCGACACTCTCAACCCCGCTGAAGGACTGTTCTCTGACCTTTGAAAGCAAGATGAAGAATGAATGGGTGGGGGCTGGAAAGGAAAGACGGGTCAGCCTGAGTGTGTGTGTGATGAGGCCTGGAATGCATGGCAGGAGTGCCACTGAGAAAGGTGAACTGGGGTTGGGGGTGTGTTCAGTTAGCTATTCAGGTGATGAGACTCAGGTCCCTCACCTGGGAGAAGAGCCCAGGTCTGTCAGTGCCTCTGCCCTGTTTTCTCCATCCTGCACTTCCCCCCAGGGGTGCTGTGTGAACTTGACTAGTCTCACTGCCTGGGGGATCCTTATCTAGAAGAGAAGGAGGTTAGGCCAAGTAGGCTCCAAGCCCCTGCTGGGCCTGCCACGCTAAGTCTGAAGCGCCGGGCCAGTGTTGGTTGAATGTCCACCCATGAAGGCGCGTGCAGGAGGCAGCCGATGGATGTTTCTCTCTCATCAATGTTTCTGTCTCTCTGTACCTCTCCCTTCCTCTCTCACACACACACACAAAAAATCAATTAAACAAAAGCGGGTGAAGCTATTCAAATCTCCAACACCTTCAGAAGAGGGACCCTGGGCAGGTAGGGTGCGTGTTTAGAGTCCTGGCTTGAGTCACTTCCTACATACAGACTCCTTTCTGGCCTTGTCCTGCTCGAAAATTGGAAATCAGGTGTAAATGTAAGTCATCTGGGCTGGGCCCAACCTGCTCATTTCTTCTTTCAGCAACATTCTTTAAACCAGTGGTTCTCAACCTTGGCTGCACATTAGAATCACCTGGGAATCTTTTTAAAATCCTGATTTCTGGGCCTCATCCTCCGGGAATTCTGTTTCTTTGTTATGGGGTGGGGCCACAACATTAGTAACAAGAAACAGACTTTCCGGAGATGAGGCCCAGAAATCAGGATTTTAAAAAGATTCCCAGGTGATTCTAATGTGCAGCCAAGGTTGAGAACCACTGCTCTAAACCCTTACAATGGCCCTGGCTCCCCTCTTCTCTCCCACCCACCCATCCAATCAATAAGTATTTATTGAATATTTGTCAGGTGCTGTTTTAGGCTTTGGGATACAACAGTAAACAAAACCAGACATGGTCTCTGCTCTCTTGGAGACTGTAGGACAAAGGAGATGTACCTGGAGCTACAAGAGGGAACCCTGACTGGGTGGGGGAATCTCACCATGGGGGGCAGAGAAGGCTGCCGGAGGAAGTGACTCTTGAATTGTTATTTGAAGTGAGGGGAAATGAAGTGGGGGGGTGGGGGGTATTCCAGACACAGCAAATAGCCTGTACATAGGCTCGTGGCAGAAGGGAGCAAGCCGAGTGTTGCGGAAGGAGAGTGGGCTGAGGAGGAGGAAGGGAGGCAGGGGCCAGAGCCACAGGACTTTGTAGGCCTTTTAATGTAACTTTTCTTTGGAGCAACAGGGATAAAGGTGTTTTGTTTTCATTAGCATTTATTTGATTCTGAATTGACTGGGTGGACCTGCCCACCCAAGGGGAGTAGATGCTACCTGGGGAGAGGCAGGCCCTAGAGAAGAGGGACTTCCATCCTGAGGGCGCCCCAGCAGGGCGGCAGGAAGCCAGCCCACGGCTCCTGTGAGTCCCTCTGCTGGGAACACCCAGGATATGCCCGGGGGTCTGGAGGCTCTAAGAATTTAGGTCAGGTTCTGGAGGGAAATGGGAAAACTACTTTAGGTTTGTGTGGGAGGATGCCTGTATAAAGCTGGTGAGGCAGGAATTAAGAAATTTAAATTGCCAGAGGTGCCAATGGGACTAGAACAGCCATGGGCAAACTACCGGCCGAGGGCCGGATCTGGCCCGTTTGAAATGAATAAAACTAAAAAAAAAAAAAGACCGTACCCTTTTATGTAATGATGTTTACTTTGAATTTATATTAGTTCACACAAACACTCCATCCATGCTCTTGTTCCGGCCCTCCGGTCCAGTTTAAGAACCCATTGTGGCCCTCGAGTCAAAAAGTTTGCCCACCCCTGGACTAGAAGCTCCAGGCAGGCAGGGAGGGACTGTGTCTGTTTTATGCAAGCAGCTATACTATTAGAGCAGTGCCTCGCACACAATGTGCATGAAATTAACGTTTATTGATCAAATGCACAAATGGAGAACCTGTTAGGTGGGGGGAGGGAAGGAAGAAAAGGGGTGGCCAATGTTTTAGTGGAAGACAAAAAAGAAAGGAATTTTTACTTATTGAGCCTACTATTTGTGGGGCAATCTATATATATAAAAACCTAAGCGACCAAACGACTGGTTGACCAGTCAACGTGTTGCTATGATGCGCACTGACCAGCAGGGGGCAGATGGTCAATGCAGGAGCTGCCCCCTGGTGGTCAGTGTGCTCTCGCAGCCAACCTCCCGTGGTCCCTCCCCCCAGCCAGCTGCAGCCCCCACCCCCTGATCTGCCTTGATCGCTGGCCAGGCCGAGGGACCCCACCCACACAAGAATTCGTGCACCGGGCCTATAATATGCTAATAAACCCTTTAAATTCATGATGATATTTTCAAGTTAGTTTTTTTAATTTTAAGGTTAAAAATATGAAACAAAACAAAAATCTAAAAATAAGTCTCACTGTCATAACAGACCCTCAAGCTCCTTCTCAGAGGCTAATAAAGTTTTTTGCATATCTTTTTAGAAATTTCATATGTATATCCCTTGAGGGTCACCTGCTGCTCCCTGCTGCATACAGGATACCGGCCTGTAGTTTTCTTTTCCTTTTTTGTGTGTGGAATGTTTCATGAATCTGTGTCATGCTTGTGCAGGGCCTTGCTAATCTCTTTATTGTTCCAATTTTAGTATATGTGCTGCTGAAGAGAGCACTCGTTTTCTTTTCATGTAGTGTCCTTATCTGGCTTTGGTATCAGGGTAGGACTGGCCTAATTAATTAAGTTCAGAAGTGTTCCCTCCTGTTACATTTTAAGGATTGGTGTTAATTCTTCTTCTTCTTCTTTTTTTAAAAATATATCTTTTATTGATTTTTTACAGAGAGGAAGGGAGAGAGATAGTTAGAAACATCGATGAGAGAGAAACATCGATCAGCTGCCTCCTGCACACCCACCACTGGGGATGTCCGCAACCAAGGTACATGCCCTTGACCGGAATCGAACCCGGGACCCTTCAGTCTGCAGGCTGACGCTCTATCCACCGAGCCAAACCAGCTAGGGCTGTTAATTCTTCTTTAAGTGTTTGGTGGAATTCACCAGGGATCCTGGTGAATTCATCTGGATCCTGGGCTTTTCTTTGTTGGGAATTCTTGATTACTGATTCAATCTCAGTACTCATTATTGGTCTGTTCAGATTTTCTATTTCTTCATGATTAAGTCTTAGGGGGTTGTATGCTTCTAGGAATTTATCAATTTCTTCTAGGTTACCCATTTTTTAGTATGTGATTGTTCACAGTAGTTTCTTATGATTCTTTGTATTTCTGTGGTATAGTTGTCCTGTCTCCTCTTTTATTCCTGAATTTATTTATTTGAGGTATTTCTCTTTTTTTCTTAGTCCAGCTAAGGGTTTGTGAGTTTTGGTTATCTTCACAATACCAGCTCTTAGTTTCGTTGATCCTTTCTTTTGTTTTTCTGTTCTCTATTTCATTTATTTCTGCAGTGATCTTTGTTATTTCCTTCCTCCTGCTAACTCTGGACTTAATTATTATTTTTTTTTAACTAGTTCCTTCAGGTAAGTTTCGGTTATTTGAGCTCTTTCTTTTTCTTAATGTAGGTGTGTTATCTCTATAAACTTTCCTTACAATTGCTTTTGCTGCACCCCATAGGTTTTGGTATATTGGGTTTTTGTTTTCAATATATATATAATATATTTTTATTGATTTCAGAGAGGAAGGAGGAGAAACAGAGAGAGAGAAATATCAATGATGAGAGAGAATCATTGATTGGCTGCCCCCTGCACGCCCCCTACTGGGGATCGAGCCTGCAACCTGGACATGTGCCCTTGACCAGAATCGAACCTAGGACCCTTCAGTCCATAGGCCGACACTCTATCCATTGAGCCAAACTGTCTAGGACTTCAATATATTTTTAAATTTCCCAGTTGATTTAGTCTTTGACCCATTAGTTGTTCAGAAGCATGTTATTTAACTTCCACATACTTGTGAATTTTCCAGCTTTCCTCCTGTTATTGATTTTTTGTCTCAAACCATTGTGGTTGGAAGAGATACTTAGTATGATTTCAATCTTCTTAAATTTGGTAAGATTTGTTTTGTCACATACCATAATCATCTATCTTAGAGAATGTTCCATATGTTCTTGAGAAGAATGTGTATGGAACTGCTATTGAATTTCTATAAATGTCTGTTAGGTTCATTTGGTCTAATGTGGCATTCAAGTTTATTATTTCCTTATTTATTTTCTGTCTGGAGAATCTATCTATTGTTGAAAGTGAGGTATTGAAGACCCTTAATATGATCGTAGTCTATTTCTCCCTTCAGATTTGTTCGTATTTGCTTAATATAGTTAGATGTTCTGATGTCGGGTGCATGTATATTTATGACTGTTTTATCTTCTTGATGAATGGGCCTTTTATCATTACACAATGACCTCTTTGTCTCTTGTTAGCATTTTAGGATTAAAGTCTATTTGTCTGATATAAGTATAGCTATCCCTGTTCTCTTTTGTTTCCACTTGGATGGAGTATGTTTCTCCATTCCTTCACTTTGAGCCTATGTGTGTCCTTACAGCTGAAATGAGAATCTTGTAGGAGGCATATAGTTGGGTCTTATTTTTTTATTTATCAAGCTGTTCTATGGCTTTTGATTGGAGAATTTAGCCATTTGCATTTAGAGTAATTATTGATAGGTAAGTACTCACTAATGCATCTTATTGTTTTTGGCTATTTTAGAGTTCATTTGTTCCTTTCTTCCTCTCTTGCTGCCTTTCTTTGTAAATCGATGATTTTCCACTATGCTTTGATTTCCTTCTCTTTATCTTTTGTGAATCTACTATAGGTTTTTGCTTTATGGTTACCATGAGGCTTACATATAACATCTTACAGATAAAATAGCATATTTTATCCTGATAATAATTTAACTTTGGTCACATATAAAAACTCTACCTTTTTATCTTTTTTGTTTTTGATGTCACAATTGACCTCTTTTTATACTGTGTATTAATAAATTATTGTAGTTATTTTTAATACTCTTGTCCTTTATCCTTTATATTAAAGTGGTTTACACACCATCATATTACATTATTAGAGTATGCTGAATTTGTATATATACTTACCTTTACCAGCATAAAGTATGCTTTCATGTTACTAATTAGCATCTTTCCATTTCAGCTTGAAGAACTGTCAGCATTTCTTGTAAGGCAGGTCTAGTGGTGATGAACCCCCTTAGCTTTTGTTTTTCTGGGGAATTCCTTATCTTACCTTCATTTCTAAAGGATAATTTTTCCAGACAGAGCATTCTTGTTTGGCATTTTTTTCTTTGACCATTTTTAATACATCATCCCATTCTCTCCTAGCCTGTAAGGGTTTTGCTGAGAAATCTGCTGACAACTTTGCAAGTTCCTAATAAGTTACATGCTTCATTTCTCTCCCTGCTTTTAAGATTCTCTCTTTGTCTTTGATTTTTGGCAGTCTTATTCTTTTTGACAGTCCTGGAGAGGACCTCTTTGAGTTTATTTGGTGACTTATGAGTTTCATGTACTTGGATATCTAAATCTTTCCCCAGATTTGGGAAGTTCTCAGCCATCATTTTCTTTAAATAAACTTTCTGCCCCCTTTTCCCTCTGGAACTCCAATAATTCATAAATTATTTCTTTTGATGATACCCCATAGTTCATGTAGGCTTTCTTTACTCTTTTTCATTCTTTGTTCTCCTCTGACTAGGTAATTTCAAAGTTCTTGTCTTCTAACTCACATATTTTTTCTTTTGCTTGATTCATTGATGTTTTCCATTGCATTTTTCATTTAATTCATTGTATTTTTCAGCTTCAGAATTTGTTTGGCTTTTTTTATGATTGCTATCTCTTTCTTTCCTTTTTTTAAAATGGGTGTTCTTTTAAAAATATATATTTTTATTGATTTCAGAGAAGGGAGAGGGAGAGAAACATCAATGAGAGAGAATCATTGATTGGCTGCCTCCTACACACCCCCTATTGGGGATCAAGCCCACAACCCCAGCATGTGCCCTGACTGGGAATCAAACTGTGACCTGGTTTATAGGTCGATGCTCAACCACTGAGCCAACCGAGTGGGCTGTTATCTCTTTCTTAAAGTTCTCATTTCGTTCATGTATTGTTTTCCTGATTTCAGTGAATTGTCTTTCTGTATTTTCTTGTAGCTCATTAAGTTTACCTAAAATAGCTATTTTGAATTATTTATCAGGTAAATTGCAGATCTCCATGCCTTTAGGATGGCTTACTAGAAGATTATTGTGATCCATTGGTGGTGTCATGTTTTGTTGATTTTTCATGTTCCTTTGTGTTGCTGTGTTCACATTTGAAAGAGCAGTTACCTCCTCTAGTCTTTACTAACTACCCTCTTCAATGCACCCAAACTTGTATTTTTTGCTCTAGTGGTATGCTGGAACTTCTCCACTGGAAACTTGGACTTCCACAAAGAACCCCTCACCTCTGGGGGATTGTCTAGGACAGGGGTGGGCAACCTTTTTGTGAGTGCGTGCCAAAACCAGCAAAATCTGACTCAAAATTCTTCTGCGTGCCAACCCTAATTTTTTGAGAACATGTTATGCCTACTTGATATCTCTTAAGGTGTACATATGTGAAGAACCTTGAAGAAATAATAAAATTCATTCGAGCGACAAAAACACAGTATATGATGATGAAAATTACATTTATTTTTTAATGTATACATGTACACTGATAGTCCGACAGAACTTTATGACTCCGTTTGATATTATCAGTGGGACTTTTGCTGCTGCATCACTGACGACAGAGATTTTACATCAGGTTTATATTTCGTGACCTTCAGAGATATGCACGAGCTACTACTTTCATCCGTCAGGCTACTCCTATTACGAGACTTAACAAAATTCATCACTGAGAACAAAGATTCACAATTGTAAATGGAAGATTATAAGAGAGGGTTTCGCGTGCCAGCAAAAGTTACTGGCGTGCCATGTTTGGCATGCGTGCCAGGGGTTGCCCACCCCTGGTCTAGGACAATGATTAGCAGGGGCTACTCGACTGCAGCTGAGAGGGACTAGAGTCAGTTCATGGGCCATAGCAGTGTCCACAGCCAGGATCAAGGTCTGTGTGCCTACTGCCCGATGCATGTGTGGGTAAAACTCCTCCTGGTTTTCTTGGCATATGGTACTGGTCCCCACAGCTCCCACATAATACTTCTGTCCGTGGATGGATCCCAAATTTTATTGTTGAGGAGGAGACACAAACAAGGGAAATCTTAATCATGATGCTCCCTATATATAATAGTAGCATACCATATCATACTTCTGCATCTTGCATTTCACTTAATATCTTAGAGACCATTCTATAGCAGTACCTAGAGATCTAGCTCATTTTTTGTAACAGCTGCATCCTATTGTAGGAATATGTCATAATTTAATTAACCTGTTTTTTTAAAATTGAGGTATAATTGACATATAACATTGTATTAGTTTCAAATATATAATGATTAGATATTTGTACTAGCATATATTATGAAATATCACCACAATAAGTCTAGTTAACATTCATCACCATACAAACCTGTTCTTTTTTGGTAGACATTTAGATTGTTTCCAGTCTTTCATAACTATTGACAATGCTGCAGTGAATACTCTAGTACTCAGGCCTTGGTGCCCGTGTGAGTATTAATGTAGGATAAATTTCTAGTAGTGGAATTGC